CGCGTAAACGAGCGGGTCGACGTTTCGGTAATTAGTCGAGTTGAAGGAAATTTCCATAACAATGTAAGAATTATGACGTTAAATCGAGCGTCGGTGGCGTCGTCGGCTATAATTCTCATAGATCACCGGACGTCGGTGGGCGAGAATATCGCCCGGTAACGAACGCTTTGAATTATTATAACGGGCGGGACCGATCGAACGAATCTATTTAACGGGTAATCCCTCATATCCGCGTACCTGTAACACGGTATCAAAACAAATCGAACGAGCATTGTGAACGGGTCCGCCGCGATACTCGGGGCTACTGGCAGAGACGCCCGGCGCCACGGTATTAAATCGTGCAACGAATTCGAAAATAATTCCCCGCCGTTGTTCGGGATATTTGTAATTATTGCGTTCCGAAACGCTTTGCGCATTGGAAATTCGACGGAATTACAAGTCGACCCCGTCTGCTCCCGCTTTGAGCGCCCGGGGTTTTTCGCCTCGTTTTAATCGCTCGTCCCGTTCCCATTAATACGATGTACCGAATAATTATTCCCGACCGCGTAACGCCTGCTAATATCGACCCCACGGTTCTGCGAATAGAATTCCGATTTTAAAGGGTGAGACGTAAGTAACTGTGGGTAAAAATGAAATTTTCTTGGGATCTTTAAATAATATTAAAAAAAAAATGCTTCTCGAATTACAAGAGAGAAGAGGATTGTCGGAGGACGTAAAACTTATCGTATTCGAATATGGCGGACGGCGTTGAATTTTTCGCCGTTCTCGAGGCTCGTCGACGGACCGGAGAGTCCTTAAGATCGAGCGATATTCGAAGGAACAAGGCGCGTAGCGGGACTAAATTGCTCGAAAGCCCGCAATAGAGAGAATTGAATGGGCATCGCTGGAAACGGCAGATCCGCGCGGGGGTGGTGACTTCAGATATACATATATATGTATATGTATGCGAAGCTATGGCACACGGGGCCGCCTATTTTCCAGCCAGCCCTGAAATTATCGGCGCGGTCTGAGCGAGGTCCATTGATTACCACTGGTAATTGCCATTACAAGCCACCCCATCCACCAACCTGCGCCCCCACACCCCCCTTTCGCCCCTCCTACGCTCGCACCGACCTCTTCCAGCGCAGTCCCGCGAGGGCCTGGATATATTCCTCTGTATCGGCATTGAAAGTCAACCGTTTTATCGGGGACGCGAGAAACCACTCGAGTATTGCGACTCTTCTATTCTTAGCGTGCACCCGTTTCAGATTTAACCCCGCATTCAAAAACGCCGTGCGTCGTTTCAGCGGCGGAGAAAAATAAATCCTATACAACTTATTCCGTGCCCTTTGAATTTTAATGCATGGTCGATAGCCACCCCTATCCCATTTAACCCATTGTTTTATAATATCGAATCGATATTCGTGATATACCCCCAAAATTACGAAAAAGAATTTTCCATCGTTGGAATAAATATACTTTAAATGCATCATCGGGAGCTCTGAGATTCTCTTGGAACGATTTCGATCACGTAGTCTCTTACATTTGCGTTAATTTTAGAAACTACCTCGATTTAAAATTCAGCGTCTTAGAACGATCACGAATTAAATCGTAATTATTACATCCAGGAGGGACCGTACGGATTCGATCTAAAAATTGATCGATATTCGCCGGGACGTTATAATTGGAAGACGTATCGTTCGATCGCCTCCTACGGGGGTTTTTTAATACCGCCGAAGAACCGTCCACGGCTCGTAATACTTATGCAACGCTTAATCCCCTTCATATCGCTAATCGGATGGAGCATACGATCGAATCAGTTAATTGGACCAGAGATCAATCTTAATTTCCCTCGTAAATCCAGTTACGTAATTTTCGCGGTTATCCCCTTGGCGGATCTACCGAGGCGGGGTATCGTTTCCGGCCGTGCAACTTTTCGATTGGATACGGGGGCGTGTATTTTGTTTCGCTCGTGTGGACGTATTAATTCCAACGGCGTCTACGTTGAATCTAAAACTTACTGTCTTAATAAATAACAAATATCTTCGTTGTCTCTGATATGTACAAACGAATGATTTTCGTTCGAAATCTGTTTCCACGTTCCAAAGCTCCGTGATTTTTATGTGCACGACTTAATTCCAGTGTCGCGAATCAGAGACAAACCTCATATTGCAAAGTACGTGCTCGGATTCGGGACGCGAGCAGCGAACGTGTTAAGGCAGAGAGTTTAAATGAATGAATAAACACATTTATGCTAAATTACGCGTATAATTAACATAGGGAAATAATAGCCGTCGCGTGTTACACCGCTTGCGTACATGGTAAACTTGTTGAACGCAGTAGTTTCCAAGACGCCCTCTTCGCGTGGCTAGACATCGAGAATTTCAGATTTTCCAATCAAAAGCTACGTATATATTCAGTTATTTAAGTTGCGTGAGATCGAATAGAAATAAATAATTAGTAATAATTTAGCTAAATAGCCACAGGTTGCCTCTACTATAGAAATTGCTTTCAAATAAATTTTGAGAAACTCAAGTTTAACTACAAACTATACCGACGTAATGTTTGTATTTTTATACGAATGTTTTCGGAAGAATTTTTCGTGTTATCGATCGTTGTAAACCGTTACGCGAAATCCCAGTATCGATGCATATTAATAACATTTACGAGCCAATTGCGCCATATCACTGTCGACTGATCGTCGAAACGTTCGCGAACATTATACGAATTGTTGTACTGGAAACCGACGACCCATGATAGTTAACTGTACTCGATGGGTTATCGATGAAACGTTGCTCGGGAAAAATTGAAACAAATAAACTGCGAACTTGCGGCCGCATATTAACGATTCGAAATCCGTCAAACCCCCGTTTCTCCGTTTAAAGCGTTTTCGGTTCAATGCGAATCGAAACACGCCCACGATCGAAAATACGTATAAACGGGGGATGTTGATGACGTTGAACAGAGCTTCATAAGCGAAAGTTAACGAAAAAACGAGGTAATTATAAGCAAGGTTCGACAAAATATTTAGTATTTGTTTACATTGATTATTCCTTAAAAATATTTTATACACATTCGTCGAATTGAAAGCGATTTAAAGACGCTTCAAACTGCAGCGTATCGAGTCGAAGGTCGAAGCGTCGAGATCTCGATGCTCGTTCGAGGGAAAGAATCGCGATCGATCGATTGATTGGCTCGCTGACGCGCGCGGCCGGAACGGCGCTCCATTTTCGTCGATACAGCCGATTATGGATTGAAAAGCGGCCATAAATCTTCGTGAATACTTTACACGCGCGTTTCGCCAGCCGGGTCACGGGGTCGAAACGGGGGGGTGCAAAATTTCGTCGCGGGTTCGCGTCGTAGTCGCTCGAAATTGAATTTACCGAAACACGAATCGCTTGATTAAGCTGCTTCGCGACTCGTTCGTCCCGATATCCCTGCGATTTTCGAGCGTTTCGAAGCACCCCGGACCCGTGTCGTTAACCTCGTGATACTAACGCCGTTCGGATGTAAAGCCAGATCCATTTATATCGAATTCTCGACACGGGAGGAGAGAGAGAGAGAGAGAGAAAAAAAAGAACCGACCGGAACGCTGGGGGCAGCGTCACGAATTGCGAAAAGCTACGGGACTGATCGAGTTCACGTTACATCGTTCGATTTCGCTCGCTGACGATACACGGGGATACAATTTCCCACGAGCCGGATACCGTCTACGGTAAACATTTCTAGAGATCGGAAGAGAACGGACGAATTCGTCGGTGTCCCTCGGAATCGGACCGAATCTGCAGTTATTTACCAGTTCGCGTTTAAAGTCGCCGCGACACCATTTTCTAATCGCCTCGCGCGCTCGAAAGCCGCGAAATATCGCCGATATTCGAGATATTTTATTTATTCAGGTGATACGAGAGACTGTTCGGAGATCTAAACTGCATAGAAAAGTGCATAACAGATTGTCAGGGCGCCGATTGGATAAATCCGTAGCGGGTCGAGGCCGTGCGTCACATTTTAATGTTTAAGTGTTTAGATGGGAATTTACGGGCGATAGTAACGGAAGAAGCTTAGGCGAATATATCTGGAGCGCCGGTGCCGGAAGGATGGTAACGTTATTTCGGATTTGACGCAGTTTTACGACGGGGCTCGATTGCTTCGCGCAGTTTTTCCGTCGCGACATCATAGAACCGAACGACCGTTTCCATATCCGCTTAAAGCAATTTTTTGAGTGGTACCGGTGATCCTAGAATCGGTCGGGGAAAAAAAGCGACGCGCGGGTCTGTTGTAGGAAATCCGCGGCGATCGTTTCGCGACACGGCCCCGATATATATTTTTGATTCACTTCGAGCGAGGAAAGAGCCGAGTAATGGAACCGTGCCCGTTCCTGGATCGGCCGTAACACGTACGCGATACACGCGATATCGATGGGACAGCCACGCGTCATCGACGAGAATCGCCGCGAAAATCTGCACGGTTCCGCGCCCATTGTTGGACGCCGCGTGAATTTTCGTCGGTCGGTATACGTTTCCAAACGACCGAAAAATAACGGACACCGGGGGCCGCGAGCAAGAACGCAAAGCTTCGAACGATGGGCTAAACAGACTGATAGCGGAAAGGATGGCAGGAAGTGGAATAAATGTAGGTGTGGCTCGACCGTAACCGCGCTGATAAAGCATCGAATACGCGGGACGTATGCAAGCTACTTCAAAAATAACGAAAAAGCCAGAGAAATATCCCAGGGTTGGCTTATCCGACTCCGGTCCGAGAACGAATATTCCTGGAAAAAATATCGCCACGCTTAATCCGCAAACGATCATACCAACACTCGGAGTCGATACTGCCCGTTGGACCGAATTTGTTTCGAAGGTACGCGGTTCAAAGTACCTTCCATCTGTTTCTGACTTTTTACCGGACCAATCGTTTTAAAAAGTTTGCTGTTTTGAAATATACCCGACGCTCGGTCGGTTCTAAAGCTGGTTACAGGGTGTCGGGCACGCTTGTTCTGACTTGAATTTTCGTCTCTGTCGCAGTGCCGCCGGAACAGCCGACCATTCTGGATCAATGGGGCAGGATAGTGAACGGGACAGCGGGACCCTACGTGGAGGACGAAACCCCGTCCCTGACGTGCCGCGTGACCGGTGGTAAGTGTACTCAATTATTCGCACGCTCGTACGTTCCCTCAACTTGGACGTTATCGACGGTCCCCTCGTAAGTCGATTCCCGCCTTTTCTATACATCAATCAATCCCGAGACGGAACACGCCTTGAAACAATTTTTTTACACCGAGTACTTGGGTTCAAAAACGAAAGAAAGATACAGAGGGTTGTTAAACACCTGGAGATCAGAAGGGTTCGCTAAATATATTATTCTCTTTTCATATTAAATACCAATGCATACCAAATGCGTGTTTTATTCCGGAAATTCTATATTTGCATGCCTGAATCGTTCGAAGAAAATGGCAGACAAAAGGGGCGATTCTGCTCGTCGAAGTACTATGGAAACCAGGAATGCTAAAAATACGCACTTTGCGCCGGAGTTATTCGTTCCGAGCATTTTAGAAAAATATTTCTTTGCTAGAGAGGAATTGGTCCGACGATTTGAAAATACCCAAATCGACGGAAACGCGTAATATTTTCTGCAATCGTCCACAAAGTGTAATTGACTTCCGGTAGGCTTGATCGATTCGACTAAGGAGCTTCGAAGTTTCTAAAACCCGACGATTTCCGTTCCACGGGGACACTTGGAGACGGACGCGAGGAATTCGACGAACGCCCGTAACTTCTTCCCAAGTTTTTTAAGAGTCTAGAATTTTTGGCGTGGTAAACACGGGGATCGCGAAATAAAAACTTTTGCTTTTTCCCGGAGATCGCACGCACCGGTACTCCGGGAACGTTCGCTCTTTAGCTGGTCGCGAAACTTCGATCGCGAACCGGGAGACACCCCGGAAGGGGATGAAGGATCGAGAGAACCTAGACGGGGGGTGGGTAGGGGGGGGATCGAAAGGAAGGGCTGACGGAGTCAGTGGTGTCGCCAGTTATTAGATCAGGCAACTTTTTATCGACGAACGGAGCTAAGTGAAAAGTTCCACGTTCGGGAGGGCGCGACGCGAGAGGAAGTCCTTCTTCGGGGGATGAAGAAGAGACGGAAGGGTGTGTTGGAACAGGGACGAGAAGAGGGGGATACCGGAGGATCAAGCGTTCCCGAGTGGAACGGGGGAGGAAGCACCAAACTACCCGAGGTCCCGGTGTTTACTTTGGCAACTGGATCTAAATTTCTGTTTATAACTGCGGCAACTTCTTCGTCCGCCTTAAAAGATTATTTCCGCCCCTCCGGCCCCTGCGGCCACCTTTCCCTCGCGGGCCACCAGACGTCCTCTGTCCTCCCCGATTAAATCGCGCTGTCCTTTGACGGGGATTTTCGCGCGATTATCTGGAAATCAACGTTATTAAACGAACGAAATATCCGAATTTACTGTGAAACTGGAAGATACTCTGAAACCAGAGTCTCTCAACGGTATTCGAAGTATCGAGAAACTGGCAAAATAAGGCAACGATAAAGATGGCAATATGTTCATTTTAAGAATGACTACTGGGGCGGCCGACGAAGAAAGGCACTTGGGGCTCCTCGAAGACGGTGTAAAATCGTTTCGATTGATACGTATCCTAAACTGGATAACTACGATACAAATACAGAGGTGTACGGCGATTCAATGCTCATCGTCGGCGCGGGCGGACCGATGAATACATCGAAATTCGAAGCCAGGAATATTGCCGTATGCAGATTCGATGGGAATTGCATCGACGCTGCGCATCGATCATACGCACTGCGGCGTATAAATTGAATATCGAGAAGATCGGCTTATCCTTAACAATACGCCGTCGGAACCGCTGCAAACGATCCCCGCTAGAACGAGAGCCTAGAATTTTCATTTAATTGTAAATCATCCTTAAAGAGGGAAGAGAAGATTGCCTCGTCCCGGGAATTCAGTTGCCAGCCAAATATTTGTTTTCCTTCTTTTTCACCCCTCCCCCTCCCCTCCTCTCTCTATCTCTCTCCGCCATCAGGTTTTTCACCGACCGTCGCGGTGTCTGAAATTTATTTTTTCGACGAGTGGATCGTTCGGCAATATCGCTTCTGTCCCGCGCAAAACCCCGCTCGATAAAATTTCGCGATTCCCTCCCCCTCCTCTTGCTGTTTGTTTGATTCCGCGCATTTTTACGCGTATTCGTTTTACTGTTCTACAACCGGGATCCGGAGAACGACGGGGGCTCTTCGGTCGGAAATAAATCGAAAACGTGAAAATACAATTTTCCGAGAGTCGTCCGAAGACGGACGCTTCCCAGACGAGGAAAACTTTTTTTGCTCGAAGGCCAGTTTCCGTGTTTTGTTTAAAAACCTTTTACTTTATCTTCACGGACCAAATAAAAATCCACCCGTACTCGATTTCGTACAATTTTACCCGTCTGATCTTTCCTGTAGTTTTCTACTGTAAGTTTGTTGCGTCGCCCTTGTAATTTTATTCAATGTTAACTTATGCGAAAAAGGCTCGTGTATGTGTTTTGTTCGTCGGGTAACGGGCAACTGGGGACAGCGAGGAACAGATGTGATTTAACTGATGGTTCGTGTTACAGAATTTATATCCAGTGTGATTTAAATTGTCCGTTCTTGTAACTGTATTATTCGTTCCAAGCACAGTTCACTTCGTTCTAGCCTGCCGTTTTATCGAGTATTTCCTCGCTATCTCAAGAAACACGGTGGTCCACGAAGGCGCGAGATAGTTGAGAATCCCTGGTTTATAGCACGAATTGCTAGCCGCACGGTATTCCTGTTCTCGCGGCACTTCGACGAAGATTTGCAATTCAATCGACGCGCGCAGAGGTCGGAAACGCTAGCCGCCAATGCAAAATTACGCCGACGTATACTTCGCCGATTAAATGTTAATTCGCGCTAGCGACTACTTTGGTCGACGGGTTTTTGACCCGGCTCCTGGCCCATAACGTCGCGAATATCGATGCTGCGCGAACCTATTTAAAGGGGGGGGGGAAAAAAATCATCTCAGAACGGAAACGATACCAGATCCGATTATTCAAACGAGAAACGGCCGAATAACGACGAGACGACGAATTCTACTCTATCCTTTGGCCGGGGCGTAAAAACTTTCCAGACCGCGCGTTTTATTGCGGGCTTGTTGCTCGCGATATTTAATATCGGGCAGAAAAGTTTTGTTTGGCCGTTCCCGAATTCGATATCGAACACTTCTCGCCAACGAATTTCGAGACCACGAAACCACGTCGCAACTCTCTCGATCGCCAGGAACCGTCAACTCGTCCCCCGTCGAAGCTTACGCAGATAATACAAATTTATCACAGATAGCGGAGGGAAGTAAAAATTCGAGGACCAGATCAGATTTATTCGAGTTTTCCCTGATCTTTCATTATACGACGTCGTGATTTTGGAGGATCGTAACCGCGTTTGCCTTCTCGCGAGATACGAACCGGACAGTCTAATCTTCATAAAGCGGACGAGATCGTCGAAAGCGCCGATGACCGACGAAATTCGAAAAAGGTAACGAGAACTCTTTGGCGCGATCCTCCATTTCCGGGACGAGGCAATAAAAACGCCGCGGCCGGTATTAAACGCGTCCTTGCCGCGACGGTCATTTTAATTCGTCGGTACCGGTTTTCACCTGGAAAACCAAACCGGACACGCCGCGTTAATTATACGAGACGCGCGCTAATACGCGAGCTTTATCTTTTTCCCCGAGGGGGAGCGGACGATAAATATATCACGCGGCCGCGCCAGCGTCGATTAACTATAATCAGTTCGCGCCGGCAGTTCTCGTAAACCAAATTAATATCGACTTTTTAAAATATCGATTCTTACGAATTGGGCCAAAAACAGTCAGAAATACATAATAATTGAGGTTTTAAACTCTGAAAAAAAGCAATATAAAATTTTCAAACTTTAACATAGATCATTCTCTGCGACATAATTTACAATAACATTTACATTGCATAAGAAGATCGTTGATCGACCAGGTGTACTCTAGGAATAATAGAAATTTCGTTTCATCCCGATCCGCTTAATTCACCCTGTGATTTTTATCGTCGAACCAGCTCGGACATCCATACCCTTCTCTCAACCGCTCTATTATACGCGATTTACAACTAAGCCTAACTCCTACCACCGAGTTCCGTGTTATCTATAATTTATGGCAATAGCGGCGAGAAAATTTTACGACTCAGCCCGCTCACGGAATTTATTGCCAATTACTTGACTTCGTGCCCGGAAAGAATCGAGGGTCCTTCTTCGAGGATGTATACGCACGTAAAAGTAAGGTCTTCCTGCCCCCTATCTCTATCCCCACCCGCGTTACGATCCAGAGAAAATTCCTTTTTCCCTTCTCGCCTCTCGCATACAGGATCCAACAGGGCGAGAGATTTCGCCCGGAGACCGAAATTCATCGCTTGGAAATAATAAACAAACCCCTGCGCGTGCACGCGAGTGTCCAATTTCGCTTTACCTCGGCGATCGTTGTCGACTTTGTTTCCACGCTTTTCGTATTAATATCTCGAAGCGTGTAATCAACGAAAAGGAACGATTAATACTGGACTCTTTTAGTTTTTCAGCGATTTAAATTTCTCAATCCTTTCTCGATCACAAGAAAGACGATAGGGATGATTTATATTATGTGATATTTGAATTGTTTACGTTCTAATAGGGTCACCATTTGATTATTTTTCGGTGGCGGGTAAAAGTTTCGAGGTACAACGTCGGGCAGCCAGTTTCCTCGGATGATTATCCGCCGGAAACGGAGAGGAACGGTTCCTCCTCCCCTTTCTTCGGCCTGTTTCGCTCTCGCGTCATCAAGCGCGATGCACTTTGCCTATTTCCCCGGGGTGTACGCATAATGTCGCGGGATCGCAATCTGCTCGCGCCCGTATTGGCCGAGCAGGGGATATTTATTTTTCAATCCTCCACGCAGAACCGGAACTCCGGCGACGCCATAAAGGATATTAAAAATCATTCGAGAGCGAGCCAACGAGGACACTACGGGCGCCTTCAAAGCGAGTTAAATTTCCTCGTATCGGCATCGACCTGCTCCGTAACGCGCGACCTACTACGTTTTATCCATTAAAAATATTGCGAATTTTCTGTTTACCATTCGAAGAAGCCACCCCAAATTGCTTTTCGTACGCTCTCGTTGGGCTCGGACTTCCGCGGCTCGAAAAATCCTCTTGTCCCCTCGCGACGCCATTGTATGCACCTGGAAAACAAAAACAGGTGATCAAGTCCTTTTGACCAAAAACGAGAATGTTACTTTCTCGATAGAATTAAACTTCCACGCGTGTGTGGCGACTGATCATTTCCGAAAACAGCGGACTACGCGAATACTCAAATAATTACACGCATTTAATAATTATTACCGGTTTGATGTTTGGATTAATTCTGATCCGCGGGGAGAACATAAACAAAGAACTGTTTGCTCCTGACAAGGCTAATTAATTAATAGATATAAACACAAGGTTTTTCGAGTTTTGTAAAGATTTAATATACGTGAAACACCACGCGTCATAACGTTCGCCACCCCCCGGGGGTTTCATTAATTTCAGCGATCAGCGACTCGGTTCCCGCAGGTGTTATCGTTGTATTCGTTAAACGGGGGAACAGACGGGCGAGTTCGACTTATCGTCGCTGGGCTTGGGTAATCCCGAATCAAGGCGTCGATGAAACGAAGGGAACGTCGGGAAGGGCTTCCGTCGGGCGTATGCAGGGCGCAAGGTTGAATAAAGGGGCGATCCGAAGGAGGGAATCTGGCAAGGATCTCGAGTTCCAAGCGGGTATTTGCCTTGAGCGGAGTTCGAACCGATGGTAAACTTGTTAGATGTGGGCGAGTAGCTGCGGACCGGTCTTAATCCTGGAAGATATCGTCCGGTATCCGCGGATTAAAATCCGCACTTTAGTGCCTCCCTGCCGCGCAGATAGCGACCAGTGTTGTCGTCGTTTCAAGGGAACCAGCGTGGGGTAGGGGTAGTTCGAATATAGTCCGACAGTTAAAGTCAACGCCAGGGGCGTACCGAAGCCATTCCCAGACCTAACCCAGACCGAGGCTAAAACCCAAACCGTGCCACGGTTCTTCTCCCTTTCCGCAGCCACGCAAACGCGCCACCATCTCGCCCCTAAGCACTCATGCAAACGACCTCACGGCTTACGAATTAACTGGCCTCCCCTGCCTACTTCGCCCTCCATAAAAAAAAAATCCTCGATCACGGACCAGCGGAAAACAACAGCTTCCTTGCATTGATACTGTTCGTCGGTTTCGATATTGGAAATTGGGACGAATCGATGCAACTGCTTCTAACCCTTCTTTTCACTTACGTTTGATTGATTTGATGTTTTGTATTAACTCTGGTATTCATATTTGAGAAGGCTACCTATTTTTTTTTCATATTCGATCAGAATGAAAACATTTTAACTTGTCGGTTTCGTAGAAAAATACACAAGTTTAATCTGCATCTCACCCCCTCTTGAATACTAAATAGCTAAAATAATTCTGTACTGCATAAAATATCGAGGTTTCGGTATTATGAATGTATGAAATATAGATCCAATATTGTACATTGTATGTATTGCAATTTTATTTTTTAAAACCAATCAGTTAGGACAAACGAGGGTCCCTAGAATGAAATACCAAATATGTGTATAATAATAAAATGTAGGATGGCGACATACGAGCGCAAAGGGTTGATATAGAAACCTGCGCTCCTGTTTACCCTCTCGAAGGTTGATTTTCAGGGAATAGTTCGAAAGAGGGGTCGAAGGTGGCCGAGAAACGTACGAAAGGGAGGAAGAATCAGAACCAACGAGACAGTTAAAACGCAATCTGGATCGACGGAGCATCGTGAATAACAACGACGAGGCGGGAGCTAATCTAGGCTTCCATCGGAGATCAGACTTGCAATTTTAAGTGTCGCGGGCGATGTTGCGTCGGGTGCCTGATTAAATTACGATTCCGATACCGTACACCATCGTGAATAACAATGAAAGCCGGGACCGTAAAGCCCAGCCCCGTTTGGCCCGGTGTTTCACGATGCCTTTACCCCCGCAACGGGGAATTTCACCGTTCGATAGACGCGCGCCACGCTTTTTCTCGCTTTATGATTTCTGACCCATTACCGGGGCGCATACCTGACTCTTATAATGCTCGTATATCATTCGAGCCGTTTTATCATCGCCATAACCGGCAGCTTTTTCCAATAAAAATATGCACCTAGCCACCGGGAGCCGCGCGTATTATTCGAGGGAGATATGTAAATCCGTGATATAATACGGAGTCTATCCACGGAACGTTCCTTCGAATGGAACTCGATACGATATACCCGATATATATATAGATATATATATATATATACATATACCCCTCCTCGAACCATTTATTTTCGATAAACGCTGCTTTCGCGAAGCACGTACATCGCGAAGGGCGACCAGTTAAGGAGATCGGAGCTACGCCGACCGAACCCTTATTTATTAGCTCGGTGCACGTGAAACCCTGTTTCTCCACAGTTTGGATGTTGCGGCGCGATAACGTATGCGAAATTGTGCGCCAACTTACGAAAAAGGTACCCCCGCGTTATGATTTAATACAACGATTCGCGTAATAAATTGCCTCTATGAAATTGTGAAAACTAATTTCGGTCGGGGGCGTATTTTACGGAATTATTACATCCCATATTCGATCTCTGTTTACGTAACGAACAAAGTCCTTTACATTATAAGGGTTACAAAAAGAAGAAAAACAGAAAATTAAATCTGAACAAAGACTGCAAAGGCGAGCACAAAAATTGTACGATTTCATAAGGTACCCTCTGAAATTAGCTTTCGGATAGCGTTGTTCAACATTTTCTATTTCTCTGGCTGAATAATCGGGTGTTTTTAAAAGCAATTCACCGCGCTCCATACAGCCCCGATTTTAAAATCCGCGCGTCGACAAGAACCGTAGTCATCGTTGTAAACTCGCTTTTAATACGCCGCTTTGATCCGTTCTCCCGTTCGTGTGCAGGGTGTTACACTCGAAACACACCGCGTAATTACCTCCTTTAGTTGTAACGATACGGAAAAATGTTTCCATATACAATTCGAATGGTTTCAAAGGGGCGAGAACGCTAATTTCTTTCAAAGGTCGTGCTTTTTTCGCGCGCAAGTATCGCGGTTTTCCTTAAACGTTCCTAACATCGATAAATTTGCTAAGATTACTGCACACTGGTTAGACCAATCTATCCCTAAATATTCTCTCATTATTACAATTACCTTCTAATCAAATTAAATATGTCCACCCTCGAACACCGTGAAAAAGTAGCTGGGTGCTTAGTGATCAGATCTCGTGTCCAAATATCATTGAAGTACTATGTTGTTCTGAATTATTTCGCGTGGAACACCATCGAACACTTTATGGCTTCTATAACCCTTAAAATCGTTTGTTCATTCACGTAAATACTACACATGGTATGATCGATATTTTTAAATGTTTTTTACTTTACATCTCCTTGTAATTATTCTCTAAGACACTTATGCAACTATCTCTATAAATGAATAAATAAATAATTCAAAGCGATGGACGATGGATGCTCGATGAGCAGAAATAGGGTACGCGAAAGTTGCGTATCATCGCGGTTACGGCAAATAATCCGACGCCTCGTGTAATTGATATTTTCTCGACCATCCCCAGAGAAACGGGGAAACTATAACGGCGCTCAGTTATCGAAGCAACCGGGCCGCAGCTCGCGGGTTTTTGTCTGGAGAGCACCGCATCGAAAACTCTGGGGTATCGGCTAATTTAAAAGTTCCCGGGAACTCATCTACCCTTTAGTGGCTTCGCCGAGGCTCACCCCCGACCCCCGTGTATACGATCCCCCTGTCCACTCGGTGTTCCGCTCGCCCCTAACCCCCCTCGTGGCATCTATTTCTCCTTTGGTTCCGCGTAGGAACAGTCGGACGTCTTTCTCGCCGGTCGAAACCACTTTCCGCAAGTCGTTACGCTCCGCGATTTGCTCCACTTTCGCGGAGCCCTCCCTCCCCCCCCCCGCCCCCAAGGGCGGAATGTTTTCGGTATTCTCTGTTTCGTAAATCTTCCTGACCCTCGGGGCTCTCGTTACGTTCGATCGAGTCGATTATTAAGTCGTTAGCAGACCGAGAACGCCGACGGAGATCCCCGAGCCCCGGGCAGGAAAACAAGAATTACGGAGCTGTAAATCCACGACACCGGACGAAGAGTTTCTCTGGCGCCCTTAACGGTTCGTTAATTTACTTTGCAGGCAAGCCGGAGCCTATGGTCCGGTGGCTCGTCAACGGCCAGGTCAAAGACGAGGAGTACGAGAAGAACGCCGGCGACATCATAGAGAACAGGTACGCTTTTATTTGCCGCACTCGAAAGCTCCGAACTGACGGTTTTATCGCTCTAAAAAACCTTAATCTGGTTGTCTCGAATCGACGAACTCACGTTTGGCATCAGGGACGCGAGATTGTACATTTTTATATTGTGCACGAAAATATTTTGCAGAGACAAAAAGTGTCGATCGCATGGTCTTGGAACGATGAATAAACTTTACGAATTCATGCAACGTGTATGTGACTAACTGTACGACCATATCTTGATATTTCTACTTCATTTCGTCGAACTACTACTGAAGAATTTCGTTGCACGTTTTCAATTTGATTTCGTTTGGGAGAAGTAAATTTTACTAATTCGTACGAGTTTGATATAATGTCTGGCCATACCTTGATATTTCTACTTGATTTTCTCGAAACCCGTACCATGCAAGAATTTCGTAGCACATTTTTCATCACATTTTGACTGGGAAATATAAATTTTACAAAATCCTATACCGAGTACGCGACTAAGTACGAGTTTGATATCGCGTCTGACCATACCTTGATATTTCTACTTGATTTCGTCGAAACCCATGCTACTCGAGAATTTCGTGGCACGTTTTCGCGTTTGCTTTAGCACGTGGAATCGGCACGTGCCTTACCAGCTGAAACTGTCGTTTTAATTAGAGGGTTGTAATTTTTTGATAGGTTAACCCTGCTGCCCATCGAGCGTTCGGACCTTGGCACGAATTTCACTTGCCAAGCACAAAACACGGACCTGATTGGGCCGAAGGAGTCCTCGATTACCCTGGATCTTAACCGTGAGTGACAATTATCATCCCTCAGATTTCCGCGAACGTGACGTTAGGGGCGCGGAGACCGATATCGTAGGGTAGGGGGTAGACCGTCCAATTCACCGGAGGGTTGAAACGCGCTCGCCATAGGCGATGGGTGGGAACGCCGTTAAAAGAGGAATGAAATAAAGACAAGAAGTAGATACAAATTCTTATCGCGTGGCTAACAAATCAGAAGCCTCACCCCGAGAGCCTATCTTGTCCCGCGTTAACGATAAGATCTACGAGACAGAGAAAGTGGGCCAACATCCTTTGCTCCCTCGCCGCTGTGAATCGCCTTTAAGGGAAGATAAGGCAAGATAAGACGAGAAATATATTAAATCCTGCCTCGAGCCCCACCCGGCTCATCCATCCCGGCGCCCTCTTGGCTCGAAGAAGCCGAAGGAGCCATGAAAGCAGGCTAACCTCGAGCTCTCTCAAAATTAGAATTCTTCGTTAACTCGCGGCCGCCCCTATAAGCCGGAACGACGAAACGCTAATTTCGCGAGTAAACTGAAAAATTCATAGATCAATTATCTCTGCCGTAGCGGCCATCGCGATGGTTCCCCAAGTAACGACCGAAAAGGGAGAAAGTTGGATGGGACGCTGTACGCCTAAAGCAAATCTCGTCTCGAACCGATCAAAGACGCGGAGATTATTGTTTTCGCGACGTATTTTGCGTTCGTCGAACTATTCGATTTCGTTTTGTAAGCGATCAAAATTGAACGAACATCGGCGCAGGAACGAGTTACCGCATCTGTCACCCGTGACTTCGGATCGACCGTACTCCCGGCGATTTGTACAAAATTTTCGTACGCGGTAAACGATCGACCGCGTCAGAAACACGTTTCGTCGAATTCTCGAAAATATTTACCGCCGTCTCGTTGATTTTTCGCTTCCTCCATTCCCTCGTCTGCGAGGTCCCGAAAAAACTCGCGTCCCGCGGAAAAAGAAAATACAGACCGACAGATCGACCGACCGGCGGCCGTGATTGATCGGCGCTGAATTATCGGTGCTTCCGAAAGTCACGAAATTTTCGACGAAGCGGACAACGAAATTGAAGGCCCGTTATTGGCGAACGAGAACACACCCATCATAGCGGTGAACGAAAACCGCCCTGCGCTTCGCGCGGTGAGATAACGAAACGGGCAGCGAAAGAGGGAAAGAGGACGAGAGGGTGAGAACAGCCAGCGGGGGGAGGGAGAAACGAGAGGGAAAAGGGGAACGAAGAGAGAGGAGAGAGATTGATCGATGCTCGCTCTTTGATTTTCGCGACCTGGACCAAGTGACCATGCATCCAGCGTGTATTCATCTCATGGCTGGCGGAACAAAAAACGAAAGAGAAATTTAAAAAAAAACCCCTGAGCGGTGACGGAGCGAACCGCTGCCGGGACCGGAGGATCGACGAGATTGCGAATATTCGAAAAGGTCGGTGATTCCGAAAATCCGGCATATCAAATATTTGCAGGCACTCGATCCGTCTCGAGTGCGTTGTTCGTTTAAAAACTTGTAATACTACGGCGCGATCGCGCAACAAAATGTTAATCTTTCCCAAAGAAGAACTCTGAACGTTGTGCAGGACGAAAGCGTCGTCTATTGATGCATCTACTGTGCGTACGCGAAAAAGTGGCTAGTGAAAGGAATGTATCTGACGCACAGTACTTGGTAAAAACTATTTCTCTTTATCTTCGATACGATAAAGGATATCTATAATTGCAAGTATTGAAAATACTACGAAACAAGTCTATTTGGCCAGAATTTTTCCAAATTTTCCGAGTGTTCGGGTTGGCGACAAACGGGACAACGTTGCGGCGCGGAATCGAGGGACTCGTTAACATAAAATCGAAAAGTAATTTTCGTAACTGGGTCGCGCGACGCGAACGGACCGGAACCAGACGACCGGAAGGCGTCAGGGACGTTGAAAGAACGGCCGAGAAAAATATCGAAACTCATTATCGGCCGACGCGGCCTCGACGGTAGCGAAGAGGAGAAACGACGCGCACGAGCGCCAAACGTGTCCTCGTAGTTTTCATATTTCACGCACGAACGGATCCGTATCTGGCCCGGTATTGGCCAATTGGAAACGCGGATTTATCGTCCGTCAAAGCGATCGTCGCCTGGCCAGTGAATACCGGGGGATAGTATCGTTCCGCGCGTTTACACGCGCGCGGAAAAATCAATGTTTACCTCTATGGAACGATCGTTATCGCGCAGAAGCTCGGAAAGAAATCGTCGAACAATTCGCGCGTCGATTTCTCACTGTTTGAGTCTCCTCCTTGTTTGATTTTCAAAGGGGGAGAAAAATGTAGGTTTATTACAGACTCTGGAACGGAATCCCCCAGGAGAATCGAACCAAAACCAATGGTAAATAAACATTTAACGAATAATCGACAATAAAACGCTAAATACAACGCTAAGGATAAAAATATCGATAGAGTATTTTTACTCGTGAGATTTTCTCGAATCTTCGACGCGAAACATTATGTGAAAGTTGGCAAACGTCCTGACAAGAATGAGCTAAACAGACAGCGAACGTTCAAACCTGGTCTGAGTAAGCTTGGGAGTGGTTACTAATCTGAACCTCTAAGGCAAGACGTTCCAAAGAACTGTTTCAGGGATTCTGAAAGCCTTCTTATAAATCTCGATTCTGTGTGAAGGTACCGAAAGAAGGGATAAGCAAGAGCGGTTGGGTCTTTATGTCGGACCGTAAAATAAGATGCTCGTGCAAATACGCTAACGTTTCGTAATTAAATGCAGCGAGGTGAGCTGTCTAAGTCGCTTGAACCCTTATAACGTCGAATCAGAATTGAAACATGTCAAAGCGCTGTTGCTTCATATTTCTTGCCTTTTAAATGATCTCGCGATTTCATTGACTACCACTTTTTATTGCACCGACCGAGAAAACATAAACAACGATGGAGGCGATTCCGGTTGCAAGTATCCCTGACGCTAATCGACGTGACGGTTAATGAATTTACCTACCCGCGATAAATTAGAAGAGCATCGTGACTAATCTTTAGACGGAACGTCATAAATCTTGCAGACGATAGAGTCGACGTGTTCTCCCCGACACGGGTCGTTACGTGTAAAGGGAAAAACAGGAGACGAACGGGGGGGGATAAAAAACATCGGGCAAATCGTTCGTCCTATTTTCGCGTTCAACTGGTCACGTAACGCGGGGGGGGCAAGTTCGAAAATGACAAATGACTGACAATCGACCGACCGGTCGGGGAGTTTTAAAACGTTAAATCGGTCGCACGATTTGCATCGGGCTCACGTACCCGACTAACCCCCCCGCCTCATTTGTCCGCCTTAATTATCGGTTCGCTTTAATTATCGCGCCCGATTAGCGTCGTCGGTCCGCGTGATTGCGGGACTCGCTGATTCGAAAAAAGAAAAAAAAAGGGGAGCACGGCATTCTGTCGTTCGACAACGACAGATCGTTCCCGGTGCGCTTCGTGTTCGGAACAGGGTTCGAAATCGCGACGCCGGATCCCGTGGGTTCGATCGATTTTGACCGATGGTTGCCCGTTCGTTTGCAGTGAAGCCTTTAACGGTGATCATAAGGAGGCCGGGGAAGAAGGGAGTGGGCGAGGAGTCTCTGCTGGCTGGGAAACGCTACGAGGTGGAATGCGAGACCACGGGATCGAGGCCACCGGCGGTGATCACCTGGTACAAAGGACGGAGCAGACAGCTCAAACACACCACGGTGAGAACAGGAAACAACAAACGATAGCTGCTGTGCGTACGCGAGAAGTTGGCTAGCGATCATCCCCTTTCACTTTCGAGGCGCCGATCGAACTAGCGAACTTCTCGCGGACGCACGCTACATATCCTTCGATCCCTGACTTTTCCACCCACGTCTCCTATTAGCTATCATCTTCAACGCGAGGTGTTCGTAAACAAGATCGTAAAATAACTCTGTAGTATAGAATCGGCTCATCGCTGTCGATTTTCCGATTTCGCGGTAACTTTACCAGCGGCTCGTTGACGCGATATCGATAAAGCGGTAACTTAGCCAGCATCGTCTATAGCCGAAAATATTCCCCGGCTCCCGTAGCAGGTGACAGACTATTATTCGAGCAACTGGAGCCCGATAATCCGGCTCGCTATCGCTTTCTAATTATTGGCGCATCACCTTAACGAAATTTGTCGTGTCCCGGCGGACGAACAAAAGGCAGCGCGGCATTTAATTAACAGCTAAGCTGCTTATTATAGCCGGGGCCGTTGGTGCTCGTTAATTAACCGGAGGGGTCCTCGAGGGCTGGACGCGGGCTAGGATGAAATACGGTAACGCGTCCTGACGCTGAGGTATTTCAATTTCACTTCCTTTAAATTTAAATCAGACTATCTGTCCCGTAAATTACACCTAGCTACATCCGCGGCCGCTTAATGTTCCACGGCTAGCGGCAAATAGTCCGTGGCGGGGGCCGATCAGCGACAGACGCGACGAATTTTCGCTCGAGCACGAAATTACACGGATGTCTCGACCAATTCCGTATCCGATCGACGGGGGGAGAAAGGGGTACCGATTGTTTTCACGTCGACCCGTTCCACGGTTACCAAGCTCGACCGATACTCGTCCAACGATTCCCCGGTGTTCCCGGTTTCTAGCGATTGGAAAAACGTCCCGGCGGCCGCTAACGAGCCCCATCGATCTCTAACGAGGAGTTTCGCGACGGTTACACGCTGCAATGAGACGCGAAGCGACGCGACGCGACAAAGAGTGTTCTTGTCGACGCGGTAGTTAAATCGTGGCCGGCTCGATTTCACCCAGTAGTCGTTCCGTACGAGAAAGAGGAAGTGGCTCGAAAGGGATTCTAAGAGAAAGAAGGGTAGGGCTGGCGGTAAAACGGAAAGGAAGGAGGAATAGGTTGAAAAGGTCGAAACGCTCCAGGGAACCGATAACTATACCCCTCGGCGGCGAATCTTTCCCTTGGGAGAGGTTTCACGGCGCGGAAACAGAGTCAAAGCTCTGGATAGACGAAGACGAGGAACGAAGACGTCGGGGGGGCAAGCAGAACGGGTCCGAACGAGGACGAGGAAGAAGCGAGGATTGGTACTCTTCTCGAACGGATTGGATTCGCCTGGTTCGACTCGCGTCCGATTGTGCGAGCTTCGAAACCAACGAGGAGGAGGGAGGGGGATGAAAAGCACGGAAGGGGGTTTAAAGGTACGATCGGAGGCCCTGTGCTTTCCAGCACCGCCGATTGAATTAAGCAGCCACACCTGTCGACTCCAGATATTTTCATTGGCCGCATGCTAATTGGCAATTAAGCGACGACGATCTAACCGATCCGCGGAGCAAACGTTCCCCCGTTCCGATCCTCCTTTGTTTTCGGCGCCCAAACCGAGCTGACGCGGATGCTCGCTCGCGACAAACTTTCCGTAATGGCTGCTGGACAGATTTTACGTACGCCCTTTCGCGAAACGTTCCAACCCTTTCCAAAAAAAGAAACTTGTCTTTGGTTAATTTGTATCTCTCTGCATCGATTCGATAAAAGCAAACTCCTCTAAATAAATTTTTATCAACGAATAAATAATTGCTTGCCCCGTCGCAAAAATCGTCGTTTTGTTCGGAGAATTTGACAAACATTAAAATTCTAATTACTTTCTACGTGGAAACGCAGGAGCAAATAACAAAATTACAAATAAATATTGGTAAATAAATACAGCGGGTATAAAATGCGGCAACATTCGTAGCAAAATTAATGGATGTCACGGGTAAATATTAGTCCGAATTTTTGATATTTCAAATAATTTGCCTCTGAAGAGGGTTCATTTCACTATTTGGCGAAAGGGGACGTTTTTTTAAAATGTTTTTTTTTTCAAACAGCGTGCACGGCACTGTGTCGCTTTCAACTCACCGCGCCATTAATTAATATCGTGTCTAGTTTTTCTGCTTGACCGTGCACCTTGCTACGAGACAACCGAACGTTTCGACGATCCCCGTAGTCGGGTCACGAATTTACCGTTTAATTAGTTACGCGTTTTACAGGAATAACATAAAATCAATAGCGAAAAATTATAAGAAAAACGGCGGGGGCTGGGAAGACTGCGAAATGGAAGAATAAACAGGAAGAACAAAGCCAAAGGGAAAAGGGAGGGCGAACGGGACAAAGGAGCTTGATATATGGAAAAAACGAAACAAAAAGACGTACAAGGGAAAACTGATTTAGAACTTACATGTACAAGGCAGCGCCAGGCTTGGGATGGAGATTTAGTTACCTTTGCTCCGCGGAGGGTTCGCATAATAAAGAAACGTTGCTTTTTATTTTATTCCCCTTAATATTAAATGCAATTCATCTTACGGATCTTACGAAAATTGCGCGAAGCGATCGAACACGCGTTCGGATACTTTCCGATTCAAACGGAAACTGCGAGTCTGGTTGGATAGTCGCAGAAATTACAATGCCAGCAGAGACGTCATTGTCCCAGAGTCGACGGGAAACGGATGGCGTTCTTACGAAGGATTTATTGGACTCCGCGGAAAGTTTGAACCTAGAAGTAACGAGGGCCTCGCGATTCGTTCGAGGAGCCTCGAAAATCATACCGCGAGGAGTTCCCTGTATTTTGGCGGATCGGACGCGGAAGCAACCGGGTCGATTCGTCCGGCAGAAGAGCCCCCGGTTCCAAGTTGCGGCGTTCGACGTTTCCAATAATACAACTAGGAACGAGCGTTGCCATTGGCCTCGAAACGAACCTGGCCCGAAGTACGTGCGGTACACGGAAGGGCTGAAAGCCCTTTATCCTAAGCGCCCGGGTGTTACTGCAACGAGCATACAGTAGAACCCGCCATTATCCGTGTTAGTTGGGTAAGTGTTCCGGTAAGAAAACTTTCGGATAATGGGCCACTTACTTTTCCAAGATGGATCATTTCGAACGAAACGCGGTTGCTGTTTCCCCAGAAGCGAAGATATCGACTTTGTTTCTTTTTTTTTTTTAATTCGACGTTCCCTAAGGCAGGGGATAAGTTCTCTTTGGGACGCCTTGGATTTGATGCGAGTGGAAGGAATTTTCCAGGAAGGCGAACTCGACGGGAAAGGAAACCGGGCAGAATAAATCTCGCAGAAGAAAATCTAAACAGACGTAATTTCGCTCAGCCGATATTATCGGGAGCATGAATTCGACAGACGAAGCGGAAAACGCTAGGAGAAAAGAAAGGACTCTGACGCGTTACAGCTACTCTGACAGCCATAACTACGAATTTCCATCCGAGTTCGCGATGCGTTGCAAAGTTAGAAGCCCTTTCTAGGTCGTGGCGCGAAAATCGGCGTCTAAAGTATTCGAAGCTCCGCCGATAATATATGCGCCTCGCAGAGAGCATTTCCGGCCTGGCGGGAACACCATCCAAGCCCGTATGCAAGCATTTTACAGAAACAGTTTCTGCTTTTCGCCGTCGAAGACGCAACGAACGACAATTTTCTTTTACCATGCAACCCGAGTCGTTATAATTTCAGCATCGAACAACTATTCGAGCTTGGATATAAGGAAAATTGCGTTTGAAAGATACATTCTGTTCCGTACTTTTATTTATACTTCGACTCGCACGGGTACGAGGAATTACAACATTGAAATTATAATTGCAAACGTTCGGGAGGAACGAGGGATAAAATAATAATATTGCAAGAGGAAAGAAAGTTCAAAGTCTCTTACAGTAAGTCCTCGACTTCCACGGTAACTTGTTTCTGTAACTTTCCTGCGTAAGTCGAATTGCATAAATACAGCGCCAACTTTACGCGAAAACAAACTATACACTAAGCTTCTTGTTAAGGACGCTTAATTGGAAAGAGAGGCGCTTAAAAAATTAATCAAGAGACAACTATTGTTATACTAGAGTACAGGTACCATATAAACTGATAAACCAGGGATTAGGACAGTTATTAACATTTGGGAATAAATCGTACACATAATATTGAACGACGAACACTCATTGTAATATAATGCAACAATGAATCACTCCACAATATTTTTATATACACTTCGGATGTAACTCTTTCATTCCAACGTACTGCACATCCATAATTCAGGTACCATTACATTTTACAAGAAATAATATTCATCGACGTGTCAACATCACCACTTCTGTATACATAATAATAAAATAAACGCCAACACACATGCACATGTACAATTATGATGTTTTCTTTCGACCAAAATGGCGGGGAAGTCCACTTGGAATGACGTAATCTGAACAGCTGTAACAGTTCTAACGGAAAACACGTAATGGCCGCCCTCGATGAAGGCGGATTGACTTCGCGCAAGGATTCGCCTGTCGCTCGTAATCTTCCCGCTGTTGGAGGTAATCTCCACCGTTCGGACGAACGAGCAGATATGCTCGGACCTAAATCACGATGGTTAGGCGCGAGAGACCCGAGGCGTCTCGCATTATCGATAATCCGAAATCACAGATGTAACTCGCGGCGCGCGTGTACGCCGAGCTGCCGTTGTCTCCAGCACGCTGACGCCGCGGCCCTAATTAATTTCGCGTAGTTCATTAACAAGCCCTGGCCGCAACGCTTAACGACGCCCCGCCTTGCACTGCCGTACACCCGTGCTTAACGCAGAAACCAAAACTCCGTCGCACAGTCTGATTAACGGAGTAAACGACAGCCACCGATGGAAACGCGACTGAATTCTAATTCGAGCAAAACAACCGTTGTCTCCGAGCTCGGTCCCGAGAGCTAGCGACGCGAACTTTTCTACGACGGAATTAAAATTCTTTGACGAGAAACGAGCCACCGACCGAATACGTGTAAAGATTCAGCGACGAAGACAGCATGCTGTTTGTCGGGCATCGAATATTCCGGAGGACACAGCGAATTATGATGAATTCTAAGACGTGTTACCTTCTTTCGTGATTTGCGATCGTGTTAACGCCAACTTCAGCGACGACGTGAAGGACGCCTGCGAAAGAGGCAGCAAAATGGCCGCGAGGCGTGGGTTGATTCAGGACTCGTCGAAAGTAGGTTGATATTGGGATGATTACAGCTTGTTGGGTCTGGATACAGGATACACAGGATGCAGGAAGTGGAGCGGATAGTCACGCCAGTCTTCTTAGACACTAATTACTTATTTATATACTCTAATAATGCAAATAATGCGAACTGTCCGACTACACGCATGTTTCACTCGCCGCCATGTCTTCTTCGTCTGCCTGCACGTCGTCCCTTTCGGGCCGCTCGGACCGACCGAGGTCGCCCGAGACTGCCCGAACCACCCCGAACAATAGCGGAGGAAGCCGAACGACTCGTTGCCGATCGGGAGCTGCGCCTAGAGGCCCGCGAAAGTTTTGAATATCATTTCTAATCGTAAATTCTTATAATTAAACTCATCGAGAACTTGTCTGGCCTTCCTTCGACGACTAAAAAGTAAAATTAAGCAGCGCGCGTTGTTAACGCTTTAATTACCATGCTAAATAGATTTTACATATCGGCCATATCTATATAATATGGCGATAAGGGCACGGAGGCGTCTCGTTTTCGCGATGACGAGAAACGTGGCGACGTGTCTCCTTAAAATTCTCGGTGGCGCGGCTTCTAAGCGACGGATAATAAAATATAGCCTTTAAGCGAGGCTTTGCGCGTTGTACGAGCGACGTTAAGAGGAACAGACGATCTCTGGACCCGGAGATTCTTGGAAAGAAACGACGGCAGTGAGCACGAGGTCGAACGGAGCCAAGGACAGGTATTAACGTAAGCAGATCCTACGAGCGACGGAACACGTAGACCGCTTCTATCGCATTACCATCCTGATTATCCTATATAGTCATCCGGGCTGTCTTTAAGCGTTCACCGCGCGTTCAGTATTACGTGGCTCCAGCCAAAGAGGGTTTCGTTAGCGGCGCAAGAGCTCCGAGAAAACTGCGATAGAGCCGCGTATAATCGCGCGGTATATTATCTTTATTTCCTGTACGCCGGTGCATCGGTGCACTTAAGAGCGTATAAATATTTCTAAATGAAATTCCGCAACGACTTTGCGCCTTACTTTCCACTTGTTCTTTTCCTTTTTTTCTCACTCTTTCTCTCTCTTATTTTCCCACCATTCCGTTTTACTACTTCGCAGTCGTCGCGAGAACGTTCGAAAATTAGTGGAGCACGGCGAGAGAGTATAATTTCAGCGGTCGGATAACGCAAGTTCCTTCGTTACGCGGGAAAAGCGTGTCTCGAAAAGAAACCGGACTGGGGTGAGAACGCGTCCAACAGGAGACAAGTTTCGGTTTCTCCCTGTTGGCGCTCGTTCCGCGCCCGACGAACGTATCGGTTGACGCGCTTTGAAACTGAACTCCCGGGTCGAGGTAGCGACGGCTCCCTTTTTTCCACCGTCGGTCGGGAGGGATAAATAAAAATAAAAAAAAAAAAAAATAACGAGACGCGGGAGTCTCGCCGCCCCGGCGTCAGAAGCTCCCCGACAAAATTCACGCTCGGTGGAATCCGTCGGCGCTCTTTAGAAAGGATTCCACGGCGTTAGCAGGACTCTCGGGGTCCTTTCGAGCCGGGGCTACCAGGAATGAATTTCCAGCAGATGTTGCCGACGTTGCTTACGGTCCGCCTCTCGACCTTAATATAACCAAAATTAACCATACCGAGTACCGTCGAACTCGTTTCGCCCGTTTTCTTCTTTTTCCCCCTCCTTTTGCTCTTCCTTGCCACTCCGATTCTCGTTTCTCGCCATCTTGCGCCGCGGAATTGGACCAAGCAACGCCGTAACAAACGGTACCACCGCGATACACCGCGGAATTATTATCCACGAGAGTTACGTTCGGTCGGGTAACAGAGTTCGAGGGAACAGAAAAGGGAATTGCGCTCGCTGTCTCGAGTTTTGCGCGATTAAAAAATTTGCCGGGGCGACCCAGCAAAGGACGAAATTATACAGATTGTCTCGCGTAATTGCATCACCCGTAGCATTTTCTCCACTTTTAACACCCCTGTATCAGAGATGCGTCTCTTTCTGCGGGGCCAATCCGACCCCGCTCGCTCGGTTTCTCATCCGACCCGTGAAACGAAGTTAGAAGCAAGCTCAAAAATGTTCTAGGGAACGCGAGAAGGCGCAATTGTTGTTTTAAATATTCTGGACGATTCATTTTGTACAGTAACATCTGTATAAAATTCGCAGGACATTATCGTCAAGGAGAAACGTTTTTTTTAACGTCCCTAAATGGAATCCCCCGAATTCTTATTCCACTGAATCCTACCTCACGAGTGTCCTTTCCAGATCCTCGACGGAATCGTTCCCTCCACTTTCGCCCCGAAATAATACGAACCCCGTGCAAAGTCGTACGTCTTGTTACGCAGGAGGAGAGATCGGAGAATCGAACGATGAGCATGGTGGAGTTCGAGCCCGGCGTGGAGGACCACGGCAAATCGATCACCTGCAGGGCCGAAAATCCAAACATGACGGGACAGTTCGTGGAGAAATCCTGGAAGATCGACGTCGTCTGTAAGTACACGATAAATATATATTCTATCGGTCCTTCGACGGGGGTCTCGGATCCCGCACGCCTTCATTCCGCTCGGCCTTTTACGAGCGGTACGCGACGTTAAATGCATATTCGATGATTCCGCGGCTACGGAACTTATTCCGCGTTTGGTCCAAGGACCGTAATGCATGCATACGCGAGGCGCTCGAGCGTCGTAAAACGAATAAAGCATCGGCACGGCATCGCGGCTATCCCTCGGCCTCATCTTCCGTCGAGCCGCGTCGTGAAATCGGCCGATTTACGAGCCTTTTCACGTCGAGCACGCGCTTCGCCCCGCCCCCGTTCTGTTCTTCTTTTTACAGCCACAATAAAACGGCCTCCGCCAGATTTCGAGCGAATTACAGTCGAAATTCAGCGAGACCGATCGTTTGCGCGCCTCCGCGTGGCCTGTTCGGTAATCCGGTCGATCGTAAACCGTGAAAAAAAAATATATATGCGACGTACGAAGGCTGCTCGTAAAGCGGAAGGGACGCCGACGAATTCGACCGTTTTAGTCGATCCACGAGCCGTTCTCCTTCCCTGCCAAATATTTTCCCCTCTTTTTGCGACCTTTCCCTTCGACGTCGTTCCCCCCCGGGTCGCACTTATCCGTCAGGTTAAAAAAGTCGGCGCCGAAAGAGCGTCAGTTTTTACGGGAACGTATCTTCCGTTGTCCCTCCGCGAACCAAAATCGTCCGTCGCGTAAAAACCAGCTCGATCGTCCGACGGGTACCGCCGCTGCGCGAAATCACGCAACCATGAATATATACGTTTTTACGAGATTATTTTTATTTATTACTCCGGACGCACCTGCTGCACGAACGGCTGCCAGCGACCAGGCTGATGGCCGCCTCGATTCGTCGGCGAGCCTGCAAAATTGATCAGCCCCGTTGCTCGTATCGCGTTACGATCCAAGACGCCCCGAACAGGGGAATATTCATAAAAATTACAGCCCCCGTGCGTCGAAACGTTTACACAAAGTGCCAATAACGGCTCCTTTTAATTATTAAAACATCCACAAAACCCCGGGATCGCCGTTGCTCGGAATGTCTACCGTATCGTAGACGGGCTCGATCGTTATATTTTCTTACCAGTTCGGAAAATAATTTTAAAGCAAACGCGGTACTTAAGGAGACTTTGAACGCCGAAGAAACTTCGCTGTTTCGAGACTTTCGAGTCTTCGACCAGTTCCCTCGAGCGTCTTAAACATTTTTCAATTGGAACGGCGTTCGGGGCGGTTCGAACTTCCATAACTTTGCGCGACTGAATTACCCGAAAACTCCGGGATGACGGAAGGAAAGACAAAATCGACGGTTCGTTTGATCGAGGATCGCCTGTACGTGCCGTTGAAACGTATCCACGAACATCTGATTCTCGGAAAAAATCCATGTGTTGTTCCTCTTTAACCCAGACGTCGGCCAGGCGGGGAACACAGGTAAATCGGAAACGAGGACGAATAATCTCTCCGTGGCTTCCGTCGAAGCGGAGATGAGCATCGAACGAAGTCGACGTCCTCCCGTATTTTGCAAAAACTCGGAGAAGGATCGACGCCTCGAAGAAACAGCTGGGAAAAGGTATCAAGAAAAAGCGCGAGGGCCCAGAGAATGACGTCACGTCGCGTATCCAATTAGGCTGACCATCGCAGCATGGACGGAATTACGCATTACCCCCTCCCCCCGTTACGCTCGGGCTTTTTTCGTGACCCTCCCCACGTCCATACGAAGCCTCGATTCGCGAGAAACGAGGAAGAAAATGAAAAGAATGCGAGAGCGGGACCGGAATTTATTGCAATCCCGGACGAGGATCTTCACGGGTAAGAGCGAAAAACAGGCTACGCCTGGGACGATGCAACGAAGGTTCGAGGGTTTAAAAAAGTGGGCAACAACAGAGGCGAGTCTCCGGGACGGAAAGCAGCAGACGCGATCGAGCTAATTAATACTATCTCTCGACAGACTAGTACACCGGAGTCGAGGAAAAAGAAGGGACACGCCGAAAAGGACGGAAATTTATCGTGGCTCGCGATAAAATCCAACGAGAGAGAACAAACTCCGCGCGGAGGAAGCGGGATAAGAGCGGCCTGGAATGATTAAACTAATGAAGACGGTAAATGAGAGGTACAAGGGGCGAAGAAAATGCCGAAGTTGTTCGAGACTATGTTGCAGCGGAGGCAGCAGTGGCAGAGTTTTCGGGCCCGAGGTGAAAACGATTGTACGCGGCTCGACGACTCGGCCATTGTCTCGCGAAATTGGAAATAAGAGAAAATCCCGTTGGTTTCCTCCTTGGTCGAATCGAACATTTCATTAGGAACATAAAATAGAAATAATATATTTGAGGAAGGAAATTCTGACAAATGAGGAGATAGTAAATATTGTACACGTGGAAAAGTCGAGGTGCAAACATTATACAGAATTTATTTCAACCAGACGAGATCAAGAATTAAAATATGTCGGATATTCCTCCACGCGTGCAAACAGCGACCCCCCTTCACACACTTGCACACACGTTTGAAATTATGCGAAATAAGTCACCAACAGGTGGCTCATCTCACATTTCCGTCTGTACGTACAAGCGTCATAGTCAAGGTCACGTAAATATCATTTTAATTTAAACCTAAGTCCATCTCGAATAAATAATGTATCCCTTTTATTTTACGACCTGGAAATCCTCGCGCCATGGAGTAACTGGTTTCGAATATCGTTATAATTTTAGCCACCCTCCGTAAAACAAACTTTCAAGTAAATTAAAACGTTGCTTCGGCTGAAACCGGTGAACCCGAGGCGACATGTTCCAAAATGTCCGCGGGAGTTACAGAATTTTCTCGACACGAACACGGAACCAACATCATTAAGGAATAAGAGAAATTCATAAGGGCGAACGTGCGCAGGAACTCTGAGAAAGCTTCTTCCTGCTCCCCCGTTTCACGGAGGACATTGTTTCCGGGAGCGAACGCGGCAAGTATTTCGGATTAAGATAATTCCCCGACATCGAGCGGGTCGTATATCATGGAGGTAGACGCCTTGCGGTGGCAAAAGAATGGGGGGGAGGGAATGGGAGAATCGTCCACTCAGAGTTGACACAAATATTTCCTATCCGAGATACGGGACAGCGCGTCAGACTCGAAGCGCGTCCTTAAGCTGGTATCCGGTTGATGAAATTCTACGAGGGTTGGACGATAAAATGAACCTTCAGCCCTTTATCCCGGTCCCTTTGTACGAGGAAAAATAGGAATCTTTCTGTTCGTTAACACCATCGAGGCATCACTGTGCAGCAGGGAAAATAGATGTATGGCTTGGAGACCTAAATTTTAAGGGGAGAAACCACATTTTTTTTTCGATGCTTGGAGTTTTAAAAATGACCCCCTAAAATTGCCTCTATTTTCAACGATCACAGTAGTTTCCCCCCATTAATTTCGTAGTCGACTCTTAATACCGAGTTTCCAATCAACTTTCATATCGAGGAGTGTGTATCACTTATGAATTTGCTTGCAGATCCACCGATCGTGTCGCTGAATCTTGGATCTACTCTGAGTCCAGAGGACATCAAGGAAGGCGACGACGTCTACTTCGAGTGCCACATCAGAGCCAACCCACCCTGGTCGAAATTGACGTGGATCCACGATGTAAGTGAAACCAGTAAAAAATATAATTCATTATCAACCAAGAAAACGGCACGATCCTAGAAACGCAGAGAATATCTCCGATGTTCATCGCCAGCGTCATCCCTTAAAAGACGTTTCGAACACACGATATGATCCATGGAAAATAATAAAATAATATTCTCCTTAAATAATTGACGATTGTTCATTCTATCTAATACCATCTAACGTGTCTATGAATTGATTTTTTTAACTTTTCTCCCCTTTCGACTCTGTGCTACCGTTATACGCCTCGTCGAAAGTTTCGACTGTTTCGCGAGACGCGGTGCGTTTCTTAACAAAGTTACATTTTAGTCCGCGGCAGTGCAATTCCGTCGTCGCGCGCCCACGCCGTCGACGTTATTAAACCCTCCCCTCGGCCTCTGTATCTCGCGACGCGCGACGCCGCGGCGCTATACAAATTCCCCGGGTGCACTTGCCGCGTCACAATGGCCGGGAACATAATACGGCCAGATTCGCGGAGAAAAATCTCCGTCGCGGACAAAAAGCACGGAGCCACGTAACTCCCTAAATTTACAAGCGAGCGTTACAGGTAATTTACGCGACAACATCCGCGGGCGTAAAGAGAGTCGGTAAGGGTTGGTACCCCGGGCGTTCTTATCCGCCGCGACGCCTCGTATATCGAGAGAGCGACCGAGTAAAACTTTAAATCCTTTATTTGCATAATATATGAGATCGATCGACGGGCTCTAACCCCCCCACCCCCCGTGCAACGCCGTTAGAGAGCCCCGGAGACTTAGCGCCGTGACGCCGCGGAAACAGGACCGCGTCGAAAGCCGATCAGCTCGCGGATTTATGCGCCTGAAACGATAAAATACTCTCGCTGCCCTCCCCGGTGCTTGTCTTGTCGTTGAAATTACGTTTATTAGATCGGACGAAAACGTCGTTTGCATTTTACCACCCACCCCCCCGTTAAACGACTGGGACGTTATTTCCGCGGAGAACGAGTCGTTCGATGAGTAATGCGATTTCCATTATTCTCTGTTACCCTGCGAGAGAATATTCCTGGGTAAATTCTGTAATTAAATACGATACGTTGTTCGTTTCGATGTTTTTTTTATTTTGTAAAAGATAGATCGAGCATGTCGGAATATCCAAGAGTATCCTTATTGTAATAATCGCGGTTCTTTAATGGGGGACGCATAAACTTCACCGTCTTATTGCTTTTTCAATTCCCGAACGTCCCGCGACTATAATTTCATGCCGCTCTCGTTAAGTTTGACGACTCCCGGAGAAACGACGAGTGTTGTTTCGAAACCGCTTGAATTATACGTTCGTTGGAAGCCTATTGCTTTACTGCATCCGAGCCCGCGTCGCACGTAGTACGATAAATTTAATTGTATTAATCGTACGGAACATGCTTACTATAATAATAATTTCAACGACTTTATCGATCTTTCCTGAAGCACGGCCCGTGAATTTAAACGATCGTTACGTGCTCCGCATCGACGATTATCGTTGCACATATTCCCAACGATACGTAACGTTTAATGGGTCGTATCGCTAACCCTTCGATTTTACACAAGTATCGCATTTGTATCACAGATGATACTTGATAATTAAATAAAAATAATCAAAAAACCTCCTATCGTCCGTTTTGAATAACCCTTTAAAGCATTGACGTTGAGTTTCATCGTGCAACCAAATTTTAATGTTTATGGAACAACCCCGAGATAATAAAAGTTACGAGCCCGGCTCGAGGAAGAAAATTTCCGTTCCGCGATCGCGGCGATAGGAAACAGGAGGATTTCGTAGTTTACCAGGGAGGAAAGTTTCCGGGATTTCGGGTTCGATTCGTTTAATCGAAACGCCCGCGAGCTTATCCCTCTTCCGGAACTCGTTTCGGGGGGGGTGCTCGCGTCGAAGTTCACGGGGCAAAGTGTCGGCACGCAGTCCTGGAGTAGGTCGTAACGATGCCCCAGGGGGAGGGGGGAGGGGGATCCCGAAAAATCTGGTGTCTCTTTTAAGGACAGCTTAGCGCGAAGCTGTTTCGGCGACCAGAAATACGAGCGGCGTGTGTTCCGCGAGCAACGCCGGCTGCTCGTTACCCTCTTCCCTTTTTCCTCGTTTGCCTTAATCCCCCGGACCCTTCCGCCGTTCTCGTTCGCCCCGTTCTTTAGGTTTAGTCGGAGGATCTTTCGGCGGATACGTGTCGTAGTTCACGAAGAATGCCGGCCAAGGAGACGGGTTAACGGCGGTCCGGGGCACCAGCTGCTACGTCGTAACAGATTTCCGTTGAAATTGCATCTTAAAAATATGATCCGACTTCATTCCGCGCGGAGCCCGAGCCTCGTCCCTTTCTCGTCTTCTCGCGTACTTTTTTCCCTCGAGCGTAGGGCCTTTTCGGTCCCTCGAACCGCTTACGATCCACAGACACCGCGTCCCGTGGATATCCTGACTTTTCCCGATCCGTGTCGACCTCGTAAAGCTGAATCCTAAAATGAGGATCCGAGAGATTCTCGAAATGGACGTCTAACGTCGTAAACACGTGCTGATTTCACGATAGCAAGACGTAACTTTTGTCTAAGTTAAACGACGACGCACGGTGTGCAAAAGTGGCCAAAACGCGGACATAATACGGAATCGATCTTTGGTTTGCGCGAACATTGGCACATTGGGGCACTTGGGATCGCTGATTACGAATCTAATGTCAAATTACATGTACACATTAAAGACAAACTCAATAAATTCTCATTACCTTTCAAATTATTTGAATCAATAAAAGTTGGAGTAAAACTATGATTCGACAAGTTTCTACTTAGGGTTTCTATGTCATATATTAATTACATTTTGCTTAATTTTGTCCGCGTTTTGGACGTTCCTTACAACGTATTTTAATAAAACGACATCCGTAAGGGCAGACCATCCTAATTTTATTGAAATGCAAAATGATCTTACCCTCGTCGGGGTCTGGGATCAGTGAGACGCAACGTAGACTCGTTAATTCACTTCTCCCCGGGTGGTTGAAAATACGAGCTGTCCGTGAACAAGTATGCGAACACGCCGAAAACGTTTATCTCGATGGAGGCGGCCCCTCTTGGTCGATTAGAAGGGTTTGCCTAGGTATTACCGGTGCCCATTGGCACGTTCTATCTGCCAATCAATCCCAAGGTAGCAATCGGGCCGGGATTCCGAACTGTCGGTCTTAAAAAAACGCTTTAAACCATTGCCGGCGGCAGTAACCTTTCGAATGGCGATCGTAAAGGCGAAGGAAGACCAGCGAACGAAAAGGGGGAAGGAATGGAAACGAACGGAGTGGAAAGAGGACGAGGGTAGTTGCAATAAGGGTCGAAGACGAGGAAGGCCTACCGAAGTAGGAAAAAAGGAATCTAGAGATATACCGACTATAATGGGGGACAGTGATTAGACTGGCTTCGCCATTCACGAGGACAATAGAGACGTTCTTTAGATACGCGAAGTATCGACGAGCCAATCGGCCTTGGCGCAGGGTCCTCTGAAAGATTCACCGGGCTCTTCATCTTCCCTGGCAAAGTGGATTGACCGACTAGACAACCGGAACAGCCCTATTAATGTCCTCCGGATCCACCTAAATATAAGGGGAGAGATCAAATGCTCTTTGCCAGAGTGGCTCTTCGTAATCTTGACACCGTCCACGTCCATACGTGTTCGGGATGCGATAAAGTGGGTTCACACCTTGGGTATTGACAGCACTCGGTCGAAACTGGCCATTGTTACAAATCGAAACTCGAAATAAAAATTTAATGAGTGCTACTTCTCGTCTATAGAAGTTACTTTCAGTTACATGATACGATATCTGATCCTTTACTCATTTGAAACCTCGTAGCTGTCCAAACCTATAGACGCTTCGTGCTTGGATTTCGACTTTCAATCATTTTTCACGCGTCGAACGGTTAAAGAGTAATTAATGGTCGTTCCGGGAAGGTTTCTATCGAAAATTGGGAATTTCGTTGACAGAACAGAGATCGATACAGACGACGGATCTCGGACAAATTCCGGGGACGACAGGACCACCGGCAGTCGAGAGATCGAATATCCTCGAGAACCATGGAGTTAGCAATATTAGAGGGAGGACGAAACTTTAAATTCCACGCGGTTCGAGGCGTTATTCGATACGGAGATCGACGTTATTGCTTCTGTTCGTCGATGATCGGTCGCCGGAAAGAAGACCAGGGTAATGGAGTTTCGCGGAATGAATCGATCGAGGGCATTTCCCTCTCGCGGGGTAGATTCGATACAACGAGTACGGGACTTAATGCGGGATGGAGTCGAGGACGGGGGTGAGGTTTGCGATTCCGTAGGTAAGAAGGGGGGCGTCGGATTCGGTGGGCCGTATATCAATCAATTTCACCCCGGAGGTCGTGATCGAGCTGGCGTGCCGGAATTCCGCTTAAAGTCGCCGCCTCCGGACGAGGCGAGGAGAACGCTTCGTTTCGTTGGAATCCGATTCTCGCGAGTTCTCTCGTTGCTAGATAAGGGGATCCCGGCGAAATCGAAGCGTGCACCCGTCCCACGGTCAACCGAGTTCTTCGAATCATTCGATTCTCCGCGAAAGAAAATATTTTGCGGGCCAGTCGAATCTCTGTACCGATATTTATTTTAAATCGCAGAAGGGGTCGACGCGCGTCTCCTTCGTCATCAGCGAGACTTTGTCGATTCTCTCGCGACGATTGTCGCGGGTTAACATCAAAAAGGCATCCAACAAACGACGAAATTACAAAGTCCCCCGGAGCGACGGAACTCGAGAGTTCCACGGCGAGGCGAGGCGGCGTGCCACGAAGAAGAATCGAAAACGTAATCAAAGATAATGAGGGAACTTTTCTACGACGCGGAAGGATTTACAACGTTCATACGAGGCCACGCTGGACGCCGGACGCCCAGGCACGGGAGGACCGTGGGAGGGGAAAAAGGGCAGAAAGAAACGCGGCGCAAACGAAGCTCCGAAACCAGCCGCGCAAGCATCTACGCTGCCCTTTTTCCACCGC